AATCGTTTCCGATTAATAATTTTTCCGATTAAATTAAAAAAGAAAGAAAATTTTTAATGTAAAAATATATGTACTAACCTGAGGGGGGGCGGTGGTGCAGACGATAAAAAATTAGCAAAAACTTTTTTCACTGTTATCCACGACGATATAAATATAAATATTGTCACCATTTTATAAAAACTATTCATTATTTTCTTTTAATAAACTATTTACAACCTTCTATAAAATTAAACAAAAACAAAAATGGTGGTGGAAATAAAATAATATGGAGAAACAAAAAAAAACCGTTAAATGCCTAAGGGTTGTTCGATTGTTGTTGTTGTTATTGATTGACCAAATTATTTTAAAAAAGGGTTAAATAAAAATTAAACCCTCCCTCTTACCCCTAAAAAAAAAAAAATTGATATAATCAATGAGGTTCGATATTTATTTTCCTTCATTTTTATGCAATATCGAAATTTAACCTTTTTCAGAAATTTTCTGCTTCCCCCCTCCAAACCCCAACAACCCCCCTCCTTCTCTAAATATTTTTCATCGGATAATTTTATTTATTTATAATCAATTTTTTCTTTCATTCATATAAATTTCGAACACGTAAATCCACAAAAGATTTATTATTAGTGACGTTTATAATTATGTTTGGAATTTCTAAAGTTTTCCATTTGATTTGTTTTCACTAAAAAAAAGGCCTCAGGTATATTAATAATAATAATGATAATAATAATTATGTGGAACCCAAATAAATTACAAATTTTTTGAGAAAAGGTACGATTTAAGAAGGTTTTTTTTATATCAGGTATATATAAGTTTGAATCAATTTCGTTTTTATTTTTTTAATTTATTTCCCCTTCGAAAAAAAAAAAATTATTTTTTTATTTAATCTCACGTTTCGAGATATCTATTATCGAAACACTCGAATCGATTTATCGAATCTTTATAAATTTATAAAAATAATAATAATAATAATAAAAGACGAGGAGAAAAAGAATAAAATAAAAAATAAAATCGTATTTTTTTAAAAATTTGTTTGTTGTTCTTTCTTTCTGGGACAAACAACAAACAATAATTTTATTCGATGGGAAAAAATATTAAAAAACAAAAAAATTGATGATGATAATAATAATAATAATAATAATAATATTCACGTTATTTCCAGCCTAAAAAAAAAATAATTTTCATTTTTTTTTGAGTTTCGTTAATAATTTTTTTATCCATAATAATAATAATAATAATAATAATAATAATAATAATAATAATTTATTCATTGTTGGTGTAAATAAATTTTAAATTTTCGTGCATCTAAGAGAAAAAGAGATAGAGAGAAAGAGAGAGAGAAAGAAAGAAAGAAAGAGAAAGAGAAAGCAACAGATGCGAACGTAATTTTAAAAAAAATAATAAATAAATTTTTTTTTTTACGCTTGCAAAAAACCTTTTTTTTATTAATAATAATAATGATAGTAATAATAATAATAATAATAATAATGATGATGATAATAATAATAATAATGATGATAATAATAATAATAATAATAATGATAATAATAATAATAATAATAATTAATAATAATAATAATAATAGTAATAATGATAATAATAACAATAATTTTAAAAAATGCGTATATGTTTACAAGTTCGGAACAAAAAAAAAAAAGGAAAATTTATTTTTATAAATACATTTTCATTTGTTATTTCGTCTGGTAACAGAAAAAAAAAAGAAATTAATTTTTAAATCTTTGTAAACTAATTATTATTAT